CTAATATATATATTTCTCTATATATATTATATGAATCATTTTAAACAAAAATATATAATTTAAAAATAAAAATTCTAAATCTTAAAATGCATAATCTAAAATTTTATAAATAAAATTTTCTTTAATATTATATTCACTCACACGTCTGGCAAAGCAAGGTTGGTCAAGCTAGTAATAATAAGAAGAAGAAGAACCTTGAAATGGGTCAACTACGGGAAAGTACAGTCAGTTTGTGTTTGGTTTGAGATACGGACGAGACATTTCAAGCGAACGAGGACTAGGATCAATAATTCAGTGCCGTCTTAAAATCATCTTGTTTCATTATGGTGACATTGGCACCACAGGAGATTTTTTTTTCTTTAAATAATTAATTAATGACTTTTAAAATTTATTAATTAATAAAAATTAATTATTTTTTAATTATTAATTTAATAATTATATTAATTATTTATAATAATAAAATAAATATTTTTAAAGAATAGAAAATATTGAAAATTTTGTATAACTCCAACACTTGTACGTGACAATATGTATATCTACTTCATCCATTAAATTAACTTCAATACCTTCCACATATCCAAAACTATAATACTACATTGTTTCACTTGAGAGTGGAACATTAGATTGGCGATAAGATAGGCAGCACTAATGTTATCACAGAGCAAGTGAGGTGTCGTTTGAAAGGGAAAACCAAGCTCAAAGAAGAGAGATTGAAGCCAAGTAACTTTAGTAGGAACAATAGCAACTACCCAGTATTCTACCTCTGTAGAATTACGAGCAACAGACTTTTGTTTAATAGACTTCCATGAAACAAGAGTCTTATTAAGAAAAATGGCATGAGCAATGGTAAAAGTTCAATCATGGTGATCACTTGCCTAATTGGCATCAAAGGAAGCAGTAAGTTAACGGATAAAGGATAGAGAGATGAACAATCCATAAGAGACAATCTTTTTGAGATAATGTAACAACTGTTTAAAGGCACTCCAATGAACAAAAGTAGGACAATGTATAAATTGAGCTAATTTATTGACAAAAAAAAAAAGAGATTCGAACATGTAAAAGAAAGATATTGTAGAGATCCAATGTATTGTCGATAAAGGCCCACATCAACAGGATCATTACCAAATGTCTCAAAAAGAAAAGAGGTAGACATAAGAGTAACCACAGCCTTGGAATCTGCCATATTAGTGTCTTTTAACAAGTCATGGGTATACTTCTGTTGAGACAAAAACAAGCCACCAGGACAAGGAAGAACTTCAACACCAAGAAAATAATGCAAGTTTCCAAGATCTTTAACTAATAATTTGGTAGCCAAGGTTGAAATAACAAAGTCAACAAACAAAGTAGAATTACTCGTAATAATAATATCATCCACATAAATGAGCACAAGAAAATGAATATTAGCTTGATGAAAAACAAAGAGACTATTATTCACTCGAGATTGAGAAAAACTAAGAGATACCAAAAAGGTATTGGGAGACAAATACCAAACCCGAAGGGCTTGTTTTAACCCATATAAAGATTTCTTAAGCTTGCAAACATATTAAGGTCGTGCCTTGTTTACAAAGCCAAGGGGTTATTGCATAAAGACATCTTTTCACAACTTGTCGTAAAACAAGGCATTGTTAACGTCATGTTTTTTAATAAACCATTCATAGGAAACAATAATAGTTAAAACAACTTGAATGGTTGTGGATTTAACCATAGGACTGAAAGTTTCAAAAAAAAGCAACACTAGACCATTGATGAAAGGCTTTGGCAACCAATCAAGCTTTGTATTTGTCTATATTGCCATTCGAATTTCTCTTGATACAAAAAACCCATTTACAACCAACAATATTTTGAATAGTAAAGGGCACTACTAGATCCCATGTCTCATTCTTAACAAGAGCATTAAACTCCGCATCCATAACAACTCACCATTATCGAACCTACATTACCTTTGAAACACATATCGGTACCTTATATTCAAGTAAAGGATGCTTGGTGGCTAAATTAAGTTGTTTTACCTTTAAAATACTATTCATGGATTTGGTTATCGTTTTATGAGTGTGTGTAGGTAGAGCTAGTGTAATTGGATTAGGCAGGGGAATAGCTGTAGGAGCCAAAGGTACTCATGAGGTTCTTTTTGATAGTGTAATATCCCAAAATTTTCTAGAATCTTAGGAAAGAAAAAAGGTTAGGGATTTATATAGGAGAAATTATTATCATTAGGCCTAATAACTAAAATTTACAAACCTAAAGAAGGGTTAAAAGAGAATCTAGTGATAAAGGGGCTAAGACTGATTTTCTTTTATTTTTTCTCCTTGCCCTCTTGCGTGATTCCATGCAACCCCTCACCAGAATTTTGCCTTAACAAGCCCTAACTTGCGCTCAGTGCCTTCTTACCAGAAAAACAACTAAGACTTAGTTTTTTCTTCTTTCTCTTAGTAAGATTTAGAGATTAGTAAGCTTATGGTTCTAAAAATGATAATCAAAATCCAAGCCTTGCTGCTGATACCCTCCAATCTCTTGGTCCATGTTGAGTTAATTAAGCAACGTAGGAGGTTGTCATTTTCCAGCATTTTATGGTAAGAAAAACAACCACAATTGATCTTTTCATCCTTGATTGAGTTGGGTTAACTTTAATCTTTTGCTATCTTTGATTTTTGGGTAGTTTCCTCTAGTTTTCCCCTTCAATTTTTGCCAACCACATGATTAACATCACTAATCTCTTTCACTAGAAATTTAGGTATGTTGTAAATGTTCCAAGACTTGATTTCCCTTTTCTTTCCTCTTAAGAATGAAATTGCACTGAGAGTTTCCACTTACAAATTGAGATTTTAGGGAAATTTTAGAGCTTACTGCTATTCATCATTCCTCTTTTATCCATGATTTCCTACTATTTTTGTGTGCTTCTTTATTGTTTGGGTTCGATTCTACCTTCGTTTTGGGTGTGTTGGAGTAAGCTATTTCTCTTTTCATTTGCTTATTCTTCCACTAGTTACTCCCAAAAAATTATTAAATTTTCCCTACTATTCTAATGAGTTAGCCTCCTCTTTATTCAATCATGAGTACTAATTTCTACTTTTGTTTGTCAATTTTTGCTACCTCAGTTCCAACCTGTTTTGCTCTTGAAAAATTATACATATCTATTGTTTAAGAACATGTATGGTTGCTCGATTTTATGTTGTACAAATAACACATGATCATATGACGTTACATGACGTTTCTAAACATAAACCACACACAAAACAACCAAGTGCAGCTTAAAATTTCACTTTTCAGTAATTGTTGTTTTTCTACTTTAAAACCCCTTATTATTGCTCTATTTTATTGTTGCAAGTTTGCTCTATTATCCTCAATTAAACCACTAAAGATCTGTCATGTTTTAGTGACATTTTGCTTGAAAATTTTGCATCAAACTGTCCAAATGTTTAGTCACATTCAGTTGCTACTTTTCTACTTAAAGGATATCCATTTCTACTTAATTTTGGCTTGTATTTTGCACTGTTTTTTTATTGCTATTTTTGCCTAGAAAATCCCTACTATTCAAGGTTTTTTTCTAAACATTTTAGGAATGGAAATCACACCTTGTTGCCCAATAATTCTACTGGTGTCTAGGATAGTTTAAAGCTTGATTTCTCACTATTTCTACACTTTGTTTTGCCTAGAGAATTTATTTGGAATACCTGTTGTTTTGAGTGACACTTGGAGTTGTTTTAAGCATATTTTAAGTATGATTAAGCATATTAATATATTAGTAAGGTTTCAATGGGTAGAAGTGGCAAGGGTATGTAGGAAGAAATCATTTCTTCTATTAGAAACTTAATGCTGAAATTGGGAACCAATTTAGTTAAACAGGGTATGTTGTAATCTTGTTGTTCATTTGATGTGGTATAGGTTCTAAATCACCTCAATCACTTTAAGTTCTAGAATTCCTTACTAGATGTCTACCTACAAGACGAGGTAAGTAAAACTATGGTAAGTAAAACTATGGTAAATGGCTTTGGATTTTAAGGTTAAGGTTTTAAAAACATATTTTGAACTATTTTTGACGTGGTGGTGGGACCTAAACCGATTTACATTTGCACATGAGCATGATTCGTTTGACATGAAGTTGTTATTAATTTTTATTGAGTTGAGCATGTCTACATGGGGTTTACTTGATTGTCTTGATAATCTGAACTTGGTTTGTAAATTATGAATTTTTTCTATTAACTTCTACATGGTTTGGTCTTCAAATATGGTTATGATTCCTAAAGCTCACCAGTGGGAGCTACAAATGCTAGCACATGTCAACATGTATTCTTGGAAAACCAGTTTGTCCTGATTTATTCTTGTTATCCTGTTAGTGGGATAGTACATCAATGATTCCTAACACCTGTCAATGGGAGTTTGTTAAACACTAGCCATGACTAATTGAGAAGACCATTCATGAGTTGTACTATGTATTAAGTGTTTATATATGAGATATTTGCTTCGGTTTAAATTTTAAATTGTTATTTGCCATGCTTTAAATTGAAATAAGGGCTACAAATGTTTGTTACTTATTGAGTTATCTCACATAGTTTTTCTTCGTCCATCATTTTAGGTCACAAGAATAAGGATGTGGAGAACCAAGGGGAGCCACGAGCTAGAAGGCTAGCCACTTGCATTTTGAACTTAGATTATTTTGGAGTTAGGCCGCTAGCCCAATTATTTTTGGTCATAAATTTTGGCATATAAATCATTCTTTTGTAGACTAGATTCCCATGGAGATAGTCGAGACTGTATTGATGGAATTGTATAATTGTGTGCACTCTTGGCCTAGTCAAGCCTTGGTTATAAAAGCTAAATTTTATTTTGAGATATTAATCTTAATTTAGTGGATTGCCAAATATAAATTAGACATTATGAATTAAGTAAGTTCTGAGCCTTGTGTATTTGTGAGAGTCTCTCACAAGTGCACAACATCTGTTTCACTCTTGATTTTGAGACATGACAGATAGGCTAAAGGTAAAACACAAGTGGATTGGAAGAACTAAATAGATGAAGAAACAAACTAAGGGAGAACTGAGTTTCTATTTGGTGAGATTGTATAAGGTTGAGTGGTAAATGGAGTTGAAGGGTGGATAGGAGCAGTGGATGGATTTAAGGAAAGTTGAGTTGGGCTAGCAGAAACTATGGTTAAGGAATCATGTGTGCGTGTGTGCACAAGATCCATGGATGAGGAATTTGGTTGAACTTGTGTTGGACAAGATGGAACGGCACCCAAGGATGGGTTTGAAGTAGAAGTTTTTAGAAAGAAAATGGTTGATGCATAATTTCATGAGAATGTAAGCCATGACATGGAGTTGAAGAATTATTACCTACATTGAGAAGAGCACCATGGACCAAAGACGATAAAGAAGGTTGCACACACATACATAAGGAATGATATGGAAAAGTGTGCTCATTACAAATAACATGATGTAAGACAAACTTTTTGTAAAATAAGACCATAACATTTATAGGCACTCTGTTGATTGTAATAACCAAGAAAATCACGGCTTTAGAATGAGGCTCTAATTTATTTTTTGTACATGGTTGTTACCATGGATAACAACAACAACCAAAGACAAGGATTTTGAGAAAATTAGGAAGAATTTGAAAGAGTACTTTAAATGGAGACTTGTCCTAATTTGAAGATGGTATTTTATTATACAAATAAACCACAATGGAAAAGGCAAATGTCTAAAATTTATTTGGTTAATTAGCATGATATCATAAGGCAAGTCCAAATTCAACAATTTTCAATGATGACATTCAACAAAACCATAATGCTTAGGTGTATAAGGTGGGGTAAAGAGATGGGAAATGCCATTAGAGGCACAAATTTGGCATAATTTAATATATTCGCTACTACCATCAAAGTAAATTATTTTTATGGAACGATTAAATTGTTTTTCCACAGCAAAGACAAAAATGATGTCAAATTTAAAATGGATAGGATAAACCAAATGTACAAAATAAAATGATCAACAAAAATCAAATAATAACGAAAATCATCAAAAGAAAAGAGACAGGCCCTACATGTCAATGTAAAGAATATCCAATGGTCCATTGCTCATTGAAGAACAAATTGAAAAAGTTAGATAATGACTTTTACTACATTGACAAGCAGAACATAAAGTGTCATTATTTCGGAAAGGAATATATAAAGAGTGAAGCATCAACTACAGCACATGAGAGAAAGGATGACCTACATGATCATGTGAATTTATGGTATAGGCTCAAATGCTAGAAAGAGAAACTACAAATGACTACAAAGACTTTGGAGACACTATGTATACATCCCTTTTATTTGGACCTCGTAGTAGGCTCTACCCAGTGCGACGGTCCTTCACAACAAAACAAAGTTTGATGAAATTCAATTAGTGCATCATTATCACAACAAAATTTAGCTCTTGAAATCAAATTATTTTTAATACCAGGGACAAAAAAAATATTTTGAAGAGAAAAGGTTTGAAGAAGAGTTTTGAGATAAAAGGTACCAATATGAGTTATAAGCAAACCTGCTCCATTTCCAATGACAACAGCATTTGTACCATCATAATTTGAGGGAAGCACTAAATTATGAAAGTTAGGATATGATGCACTTAAGTTAATGTGCCATTCAGCAAAGGAAGAGGACATGAAATTAACAGGAGAAGCTTGACTACTATATAATTTTGGACAAGCTTCAATAATATAACCACTAGTATCACAAATTAACAAACCAAAAGATGTTGGGAATTGTCAAATTGAAAACGATGACGGAACAATAAGACACCATTTTTTCCACCATGGTTTTGCCATCTTATCTAACCACATGGAGCATTAGATTGAGAGGCCTCTTGTAGCCATCCACTATTTTGGAAATTGGAATTTTAGTAATAACTAGAATTTGGTTGTTGTCCCCTCCTATTTGAACCTCCCAAAGACTAAGTCTGTGAGCCATTACCAAGGGACATTGGCCTCTTTTAAGTAGCATTGATCATAACACCACCTACTTGAATAGCATTAATTATTTTTAAGTACTTGCGAGAAAAAAGTTGACCACGTAATTCTTCATAAGTATATGAAAAGACTTAAGCATGAATAGTAGCTACAATTTCCCTATACTTAAGACCAAGACCAAGACCATATGCAAGGTAAGCCAAATATCACAAGAAGTAACACAACGTTTGACAGATGGAATAATTGAGTCATAAAATAAATTTATGATGACATGCTTAATTAATTGGTCTTGCCATACCCAAAGTATATAGAGAGAATTAAGGTCAATGCGTTCAACAAGAAAGGCATGAGAAGCTTAAACTGTTCCATCAGGAAACCCCATCAATCTATAACCTAGCATAATAGCCAGCGTTTGTTGTTTTCCAAGAGCTAAAGTTTGTTGGAGCAAGCTTGAATGGCAGAACAATTGAATTGAAAAAGATAAGCTGATGCCACTGAGAGTCACATGGGAACATTATGGTAAATAGAGAAACAGCCAATAGGGAGCTCAATGTACGTAATGGAAAACCTATAGAGAAATTAGTAGAAGACATTTCTCCAATAGTTGATGATAGTGAAGAAAAGGTAAAAGACATGAAACCCATTGCACTAACAGTAAAGAAATTTAGGGGAACTACAAATTGAATATTGGTGGAAGGAGTATAGCCTAGCATTGGAAACGACCCAATAAGAAGAAAACTAGGAGTTGAAAAAGTAGTTGAAGCCAAAACAGGTAAGGTTCTAATAAAAGTTATAGCTATAGGATGATTGCTTGAAAGGATAATGGAAGTCATAGTACTAGGGACTTGCGAAAGGATATGTGAAAAGCTAAAAGCAAAGAGGAATGGAGTGAAGGTTATTGATACATTCATAGTAGATAGAAATGAAGAACTGTTTTCAATCGCCATTAATAATAATAGTAATAATAATAATAACAAGGTTAAAACCCCATTTTGGTTCATGAACTATTGAACAGACCCCTGATTTGATCTCTACTGTTTATCATTTGAACCCAAATTTGGTCCTTGCGTTAATTTTTTGACGTTAATTGACGAAGAAACATTACATGGCAAAATTAAATGACATGGCAATTTCCAACTCATCCCACCCAACAAATTCCCTTTTTTTAGCTTTTTTTTTTTTTCTGTTCCTCTATTTCCTACTTCCCTTTCTCTTTCCTCTTCCCTTTCTTCAACTTCTGCAAACCCTAACATCTCAACCAATTTATTCATCTCAACCCTTTCTCTTTCCTCTACCATTTCTTGGTTCGAGAACCTAGCAGAGCTGTTGGGATCTCAAACCCAGTGGATTTGCTGGGTATCGAACCTAACAGTTCTGCTAGGTCGTTTCAACTCAGGAGCTGCTGGGGTTTCTCCACTGGGTTCTTTCAAAAGTAGCAAGCCTTGGATGAGGCAAGTTCATTTGATGATGATAATGAATTAATTGATCTCATTGAATTGATTGTTTGATTTAGAATGAATGAAGAAGATTTGAGAGAAAGGATGCTGAGGAAGAAATTAGGGCAAAATTGTAAATTTAATGGATTAAATAATTATATTTGTTTGATCAGGTGGCAAAGGTTTTTAGCCACATCCTTTATTTATCCTATTGTCAATTTTATGTATTAAATATTTGGAAATATCATTTTATTCCATCAATTAATAGGCCACCTCAGCAAAAATTTAACGGAAAGACCAAATCAAGGGTCTGTACAATAGTTCAGGGACCGAAATGAGGTTTTAACCTAATAATAATAATAATAATAATAATAATAATAATAATAATAACAAGTAAAATAAGTGCTCTAAATCAAATTCTCATTAAGAGCATTTTTATGCTCTAACACCATAAAAGATAAACAAGGTAAAAGAATGGATAATCTAAATGTGATAATATTTCTATTATCTATAGAAGTACATATCTAATTAGATACAACAGTTTAAGCAAGATATCAAAATATAAATTACAACAATAAAACAAATTGCAAAAAAAATATTTTAAGTACAAATTTCAAAATGGGCCAATGCTTATAAAAATGAGGAAAATTATATGAATCTAAGTGTCTACAACATTCATGCAAACATAGACTACACTATCATTGTTTTAATCTGATGGAGTAGCCAATAGTGTGGAGCCACATAACCCAAAGACAAAATTGTTGGAAGTCAAGTATTTTGACATCCTACAATACAATGCCATGTTTTTCCTCATTGCACGCAGCCACGTGTTACTTGTCAAGTTTATTTAAAATGCTTTTACTATTAGAGGGATTTATGTAATGGTAGTTTTAATACGTGCTTTTTAATAAAGATGTTAAAAATATGTTTATTGTATTTTTATAGTTGATTTATATTAAAAAATAAAAAAATAATTTAATCTTATTAATTATTTAATTAAAAATATGCATATAAAATGAATGATAAAAATAAAGTTAATTTTTATAATTTTTTTTTATAAAAATTAAATATTAATAGATGAGGTTAATGCATCATTATCTTGTGCCAATATAGCACATGTTAGACAACTTCATCATGTAAATATACTTTCACTTGCCTCTTTCTTTCAATAAAGAAAAATGCAACACATAGATATGTATAATGTGATCAAAACAAAAAATTTAAAAGGGATTAAGCAAATAAATAAGTAAATTGATATTAACTATTGTTAATTATTATTATTACCTCTTATCTCCTTTTTGCCTTGTTTAGTACATGGACCACAAAATGCTTCTAACATTGAAAATGATCCTTAGTTGTGGAGGAGTTGCATTTGAGGATTTCTTAGCTTTTGGAACTTTCTGCATCATGGCCAAACTATCTATATATATATATATATATATTAATAGCACTTCTAAATTGTCAAAGAAATAAATTGATGAACAAAGCATACTTTACCTTTAGCAACTCTGGCTCAAAGTTAGGATCAATCTTGTGATGGCAACCTTTCATGTTATGCCCTTGCTGATGACACAAATTACAAGTAATTTTGACTCCTTTTCTTGATAGTTTTTCAACGTCTTTTTTTTTTTTTCTTTTTGGTATTTTAGGTTCATTGTTGGACTAGATTTTGTTAACTCTTGGCCTAACTTTGAGCTTCCTAAATGGTAGTGGTTGAAACTTTTCTCCCTTGTGCATATTCCATGTTTCACTCCCTTGAACACAATCAATAGGGTATTTGTATGCCTGAACATATATAGTCCTCTTGTACCAATGTGCTACTTCATCTTTGAAGTTCAAGTTCTAGGAGCACATGGCAACAATGGCATGTTTACCAAGTATTCTTGTTAATTTCCACCCTCTACATGTGCATTCCTTTCTTTGCAAATTCACAACATGTCTTTGATCATCCTTAATGATCTCATACTCACCACCCCTATTCTCCTCAAAAGTCCAAGTAGTAGCTTCCTCAACATTATGTTTTAAAATTGTTACAATCCTTGGTGCAATTCCCCATTCTCATGACAAAGCAGTGGCTCTTTTCATCCATGAATTAAATGTCTCGAACAAGTTATTGTCCACCATATCAGATTTTGAGGTGAATTTAAAGAATGCCTTACACCAAAACTTACCTTCATATTCTTTAACAATAAAATGTAGAAAATGAAAAATGTATAGAATATGTCCAATTTCTCAAAGAACCAAAAATTCTTTGCATGATCATTAACTAATATGTAATATTCTTTTTTTTTTTTTAGATTGAGTATGTTCAAGATTATAAGCACACTTTGTGTTGGTCTAAAACAATTGTCAAGTTGCTACCATTTTCCAACTTCAAATCCTTCTTCAAGTGGCAAAGAAACCATCCCCATGTCTCATTGGATTCACTATCAACAACTGTTTAAGCAATGAAAAACATTTGGTTATTCTCATCTCTGCCAATTGCTACTAAAAGCACCCCTTTACACATGCCCTTCAAGAAACACCCATCAATCCCAATGATAGGTCTACAACCTTCCATCCATCCTTTTTTGCATGCAGCCAAGCAAACATATGTGCTTTTAAATACAAGATTTGGTTCGTTTATGTACCTATCGTAATTAACATGAACAATGTTTTCTAAATTTTTTCCAACAAGAATATCCCTATATCCTAATAAAGCAGCATACTCTTCAAAGTTGTTCCCGTCCAACTCCTTTAACAGTAATGCTTTTGCTTTAGCTATCACACTAGTGTAAACATTAAGCCTCAACTCTTTGGAGCAAGCTATTTCAACTCTCTCAACTTAATCATTGGATTAGCATTAATCGTAGGTTTCAAATACTTAGCAAGTCACAAGGAATTAGCTAATGGATTTAACCCTTTTTTTTATAACAATTGTGTTCTCTCACATATGACATAAGTCCCCATGTCAAATCTCTATTAGACAAAGTAGCACAAATAAACCACCTACAAAATAGTCCAATATATTGAAGCCCTTTGCATTTGGCATCATTTTTTAGCCATTTAAGAACACACCCTTTCTTTATGGCATAGGTCCTTATTGCATGCTTAAACTGCTCATGATTTTCAAATTTCATACTCAGTTCAAATATAGGAATGTCATTGTTTGGATTGAAGATTGGGTCGCATGTTCTTGGTCTAATTGCATCATCTTTCACAATTTACTCAGTGTCTAAGCCATCCAAGTCATAAACTCTTGGATCATCAATATCAAAGCACTCTGATTCTCCACTTACAACATCTAGTCTTGAGTTGATAAAAAATAAATCATTTCCAACAAGATCAGGTAATTTCTTCCTCTTTTTTTTACTTCTTTTCCTACTATCTTTTTTTCCTAGACACTTCTATTTATTAACACATATAGTTGAAGTACAAACATCTCTACTAGTTGTGTCATTGTTTACAATCTCAACAGGTACCTCCAATTCTTGTTGTACTTGGTTTCTAGAACCCAAATCATCAAGTTTATCATTATCACTATCATAACATCAAACAATTGCACTAATTCCTCATCAAACTCAAAATCATAATGGTCTTTATCATCATCATCAACAATGTGACATTTCTCAACATGTTCCACAAGTACATGAACCACTTTATGCTCATAAAGAACTTGGGCCATCTTGAGAATGCCATTGTCATTTTCTAATGGCCATAAACCATTTGGCATAGAATGGTTTGGAAGCAAATAGAAAACTTTCTAAATATCAACTTGAGAAATTTTCTTAATGTCATCAACTATATCTTTGAAACATAATCAACCAAGGTCTATTTTGCCTTCTTCACCATAAACATAGACTTTACCCCCAACATTCAAATATAGATGCTTCACAAATTTTTCTTCACAATGAAGTTTCAAAGTAGACATTCTACAATTTCAAAGAAAAAGAGTGTACACTTATCAATAATTCAAAAGTAGACATTCCGTATGTCTTATTAAATTGCTCAACCATCCAAACAAATAATAATAATAATAATAATAATAATAATAATATCACAATAATTAACAAGTTTTTTAAATTATGTTACTCCAAATTCAAGTATGATGCATTTTAATTATTTTTTAGGTATTTATAGTTAGGGTCTCTCCAGGTCCATTCTTACATATCTCGAGACTAAATAAACAATTAAACTAATTAAAAACCTAATATTTTAAACACAAATAATAAAACAATCCTTGTCGTGTCACCAAACAAGTATCAAACAAAGAAAAAAGTAAATAAAAAAAAATTGGTTTAAATAATGCTGTCATATTAATTAAATATTTTACTTTCATAAAACATCCCAAAAAAGTAGAGAACAAAAGCCAGTTAAATATCTCTTTACAAATTGTGAAGATGACATTTGTCTTTTAAGAAAAACCCAAGATATAGTTATTCAGGATTTATTTCCCTACTTTGCACAATAATCTATGAATCTTTTGTATTAATATAATTGCTAGTTTAAATTTTTTCTTTTACCATTAACTTTTATAGTGTATTTTACCTTTTTTCGTTGGCAAGGTATTTGTTGTCATAGGATGTTTAGTCAGCAAGTTAGTATGTCATCTATTGGAAGTTGACCCAACATTGGTTACAAGCTTGATAAGAGCCCAAAGGCATAAAAGGCATAAGCAAATAGTGAAAATTATTCCATATGACCAGTAATATGCGGCCCAATAGGACCATAACATATAGTATTGATGTCATAAATAAGGATTATAAATGCTCGTCTCATACCATTACCAAAGGTAATAACAAAACTATACTTCTCTATTTGTAATATTTAGTTCTTGAGAGCTTCTCTCTCAAGAGCAATTGATTATTACTAGATCATCCAAGTGTTTTCCCCAAAGACACTTTCTCATGATTTTCAAGTACCAAAACAATACAAGGCTTCAATAGTACTAAAGCTCATGAAGACTAACCAAACACCATCTTAGAACAAAATTCCAATCTACAGACTGGATAACTATCTCCATTAGCCACATCACCATTTACCATCCAAATACTCCGAGGATGTAGAAATGCAAAATTCAACTACTTGATTAGGAAAATTAAAAATTAGACTCCTTGTATAGTAAAACCATATAAGTTCGACTCCTTATTAATTTGTTTTGCCCTAATTTCCCCTTTTCCATTTTTTCTTTCTTCGTTTCTTTTTTCGTTTCTTTCTTCTCTCTTTTCTTTTCATTCTTCAACTCTTCAATTTTATTATCGTAATGGCCTCCACATAAAGATAAATTCCTGCCACATAAAATTAAATGCATTAAGATCCATAAAATATAAAATTATTATAAAAATTTTATTTATTATATAAACTATATGTTTTTTTGGATAAAAATTTACGTTAAGACAATACTAATAGGTGAACCCTAAGCAAAATAACCATACCACCTCATCCGGTTTCTTCTCCAATTCAAGACCCTCTGCGAAATCCTCCTTTCTTTTCTCAAATCCAACCATTCCCTGGCTCTCTCTCAAATTTCTTCAAGTTTGATTCTGTCCCTTACCTTAAACTTTTTGCATGTATAGAGCCTTTTTTTATTCGCTCCACTAAAGGTATTTTCTATTTGATCTCTTAAGTTTAATTGTTATAAAAAAATTCACCCCAACTCACCCATCACTTAAAGTACCTATTGACTTCCTTCGAGTGCAAGTTGAAACAGTTTGGTTACTGCTTTCTCGCTTCACATGGTGCTCTGGATGATTCCTTTGGAATGCAGCAGCGCAATAGCTCCATCATTGTCAATGATATTGTCCATAAAAAAAGATGTAGGATGTTACTTCATTCCTGCCCCAACATGGAAACGTTCAAATGCAATTAAATTCAGAAACAAGGATTCTGTTGCATCATCCACAATAATCATAAGAGCTGAAAATTCAACCAACTCAACCTAACTTAACCGTTATAAATTATAAATTTAAAATATTAATTTAAAATTTAATATGAGTAAATCAAAATTATCTAAATCCAATTGAATTGAGTCAAACTTAGGTTGAATCAACCTAAAATGACTCGATTAAAATTAATTAATTTTAAAATTTTAAAATTTTGATCAATTATACTTTTAATTTTAATTTTTAAATATAAAATAAAATTAAATACTATCAAATATTATTATTTATTAAATTATTAGAGTTAATATTAATTCAACAAATTTTTTTGACAAAATAATTAATTAATATTAATTTTTCTGAAAAATAGAGAAATTAATGAAAATTTTTAATTTTTTAAAAAATTAGATCTACCCAACTTAATTCGAGACTTATGTGGGTTTAAGTTGGGTGGATCATGAATTTATCCTTTTTAACTCAAAATTCAAAATAACCAATCTAATAAACCCAAAATCTAAAGCAATCTAATCTAAATTTACTTGATCTAACTTGTTTGCCAAGTTTACCCATATATAATCCTTCTATTAAATTCTTACTAACAATGCTCAATATTTTATTAAGATATTCATTTTCCCAATTTTTTGAAAATTGCTTGGATATGCACCATGCAAATGTTATTCTTACATTAGCATTCCAAGTAAACCATATGCGCTAAAAATTATAAACTATGGATCCGTCTAAAAAGACTGAGTTGGTTTTGATTGAAAAAATAGTAAGTCCTAGCACTTAACTATGATGATTTCCAATGATAAATGAGGGTGCTAGCAGTTATTCAATAAGAGAGAAAAACAAGTTGCTAGATTCAAACCACTTTTTTCTATTTTCAAGCTAATAATTGAGGAGCAAGTTTGGAAGGATGGTTTGCTGCTTTCGATCCGCATGCTTTAAAGTATTTCTGTTTAATATTGATTATTATTTTCGATCCTTTGTTGTTTTCCATCTTTGACTGGTATTATTTGATCTTGATATTTGAGGCCTACAAATTGGATCCCAACAGTAAGCTTTTTGGTAGTGAAATATAAATGAGCATACCCAATCAATCGACTTTTAGCAATTCTAATACCCAACATCCGTAGAAGTGGGAAGATCCATCCATCATAAAACTAAGTACTACTTGAGAAAGTGTAACCTAAAAAATTGACTAGGAAAAGCTTTGTAAAACTGAAAAAAAAAAAGATATACTTTGGTATTTCATTGCAAAGGAAACAAATACTCTGATATTTCAAATCTCAACCCCCAAAAATTGCCACATCTCTTTCATCAATTCAGTTGAATAGATTTAGCAAAAATTTTAGTCAATAAGCACTCTTAAGTGCTTTCACCAATCACTGTTTCTATTTTCCTTGCCCATAGGTTGACTTACAGCTAACTAAGAAATGTTCAGTGCAATTAGGATTATATTAGACTGCACTAAACTAACCCTTAAATAGGTGGTAAGCCTCTTAATAATGGGAGCTATCCCTAATCTGAAGGTCCCTTTTTTATGGTCTAGATTGTAAAAAAGGGGACTCCTTGTGTCTTATACTAGTAGATAAAGTTCATATTAAAGCAGCAAACTGATTCAGCAATCACCTAACAATCTGAATCAATAATAGCAATATACTCTCTCAATTAAATCTGAAATTGTAGGATCTCAAGCACTTCAGAGGATGAGAGAAGCAATCAAAAAAAGAGATAAGCGAGCCACCTTAATCTATAGCCATGATCTGACTTGTATAAGTTCAACAATTTTTTCCGCAACATCATTGCCAGTATTGAAAACTAACTGATTCCTCCAAAGCCACAGGGATCACAATCACCACACCACTAAAAACCAACCTTTCATCCAGGCTTCCCTCATTCTTTGGCTGGGTCTTAGGCCTTCTTCGACTGCCACTTTCATCCATTTATAATACACAGCGTCTAGATGACTTCATCCTCATTGCTATATATATTATTACATTTCAAGAACTTTCGCAGTGGCAGACATAGCTGTGTTACTGTTGAAGATATCAGTTAACAGCAGTTATGCTTTTTTTAATTTGTAACTGGTTTATTGTTTTCTGCAGTTAGTTCTACAAGTTAGCTGCATTAGGAGTAGTTATTTTTTTCCTTTATGAAAAAACTGTAATGGATAAGTTGTTGTGTATGTCAGTTATCAATCTGCAATGAAATGGAGCTCCACATCCGAGAAGCTCATAAAATCTAGATTAGTGTGTTCTTTAGTTTACTGCAGAAATTAACAATTGGTATCAGAGCTTAATCGTCTTGAGGGGCCTGTGAGAGCAAAACATATCAGATTCTGGTGAGAGAGAGCAAATATGAGTGCTAGTGAGGGAGAGAAGTTGTGTAAACAAAAAACACAGCCATGTCTTCAAACAATTCTTCAACACTTTCTAATCCTCCTATGTTCACAGGAGAAAATTACAGTGTTTGGGCTATCAAAATGAAGGCCTTTCTAAAAGGTAATGGTGTGTGGGAATCTGTAGAAGATGGGTTTCATCCTCCTATGCTGCCAAACAATCCAACTGTAGCCCAAATGAAGCAACATGCTGACTATGTTCAAGCCTCATACAAAGCCCTCTCATATATTCACAATGCTGTAACAGATGATATTTTCTCAAGGATCATGGGAGCAAAAATAGCACAAGAAGCATGGGATACTCTTAAGAAAGAGTTTGACGGCAGTTCTTGGGTTGAAGGTAACAAGATTGTAACCCTCAAAAGACAATTTGAAATGCTAAAAATGCAAGAGACAGAGACAGTCCATCAATATACAAATAAATTGATGGATGTTGTCAACCGAATCAAACTTCATGGTGAGGAATTTCCAGATCGAAGGGTGGTGGAAAAGATTATTGTTAGTGTACCAGATAAATTTGAGTCTAAGATTTCTGCCATAGAGGAATCTTGTGACCTCAAAGAGTTAACCATCACTGAGCTTATAAGCAAGCTTCAAGCTCATGAGCAAAGGCTGGTTATGAAAACTGATGAAACTACAGAAGGAGCCTTCCTTGCAAGGCAAAAAGGCAAACAACCAGCCACCAGTTCTGAAAGCAATAAGACCATGGGTTTTAACCAAGCATATCAGCACCATCAGCAAAGTAGAAAATGGAGGTTTCCTCCATGTTGTCATTGCCGAAAAACAAACCATGAAGAAAAAGATTGTTGGTTCAAAGGCAAATCACAGATTCAGTGCAGATTTTGTAAAAAGTATGGCCATTTTGAGAAGAATTGCAGGGGTAAGCAACAACGACAGCATCAGCAAGCTTAGTACAGACCAAAGCAACAACAGCAAGTTAATTATGCTGAAGATCAGTGTAAGGAGGACTACTTGTTCACAATGTCACATGGTTCATCTCTGCCATCTAGTAGTTGGTTTGTTGATAGTGGATGCACTAATCATATGGCTCGGGATGAAAATTTCTTCATTGAAATGGACAAATCAGTTATTACAAATGTCAAGTTAGAAAATGGTACTGTGGTGAGATCACAAGGGAAAGGTACTGCTGTTATTCAAACTAAAACAGGTACAAAGCAAATTATTGATGTCCTATTTATTCCCAGCTTGAGCTAGAATTTGCTTTCTGTTGCACAGATGATGAAAAAGGGATACACTCTATCTTTTGTGCATGATTCTTGTTTTATTTATGACCTTACTGGTGATGAGATAGCTAGGGTGAAAATGGTAGAAAATAGCTTTCCTTTGGATTTGGAAAAGGTGCAGCATTGTTTTTCTACTTCTAAAATTGTGGATGCAGATTTATGGCATAAAAGATATGGTCATTTCAATGTCAAAGGCCTAAAATTTATGCAAACACATGAGTTTGTTCGAGATTTGCCAGAATTGCATTTAACTAACAGTGTTTGTGAAAGCTGTCAATTAGGCAAGATGCATAAGTTGCCTTTTCCTGTGAATAAATCTTTTAGAGCAACTTAGAAGCTTGAACTGGTACATACGGATATTTGTGGTCCTATGAGAACACCATCTCTCAGCCAAAACAGATATTTCATCCTCTTTATTGATGACTTTACAAGAATGACATGGGTATACTTTCTTGGCAGCAAAGGTCAAGCTTTGCCTGTGTTTAAAAAATTCAAAGCTTTGGTTGAAAACCAAAGTGGATGTAGAATTAAGAAGCTCAGATCAGATAATGGCAAGGAGTATACCTCCAATGATTTCAATTTGTTTTGTGAAAAAGCTGGTGTTGATCATCAATTGACAGTGTCTTATACTCCACAATAGAATGGCATTGCAGAGAGGAAAAATAGAACCGTTATGGAGATGGCAAGGTGCATGTTAGCAGAGAAGAAATTGCCTAAATGTTTTTGGGCTGAAGCAGTTTATACAGCTGTCTATCTCTTAAATGGTCTACCAACAAAGGCGGTAAAAGGCATAACACCTATTGAGGCTTGGTATGGTCAAAAACCATCAGCTGATCAGTTGAGGGTGTTTGGTTCAATTTGTTATAATCATGTTCCAGCAGCTAAAAGAGGAAAATTAGATGAGAAGGTAGAAATTGGGATCTTTATAGGCTATGCAACAGAAGCAAAAGGCTATAAGGTGTATGATCCTATATCCAAGAAGGTAAATGTGCATAAAGATGTTGTTTTT